ATTATATTCTCATATTTTTAAAGAATAGATGCTCAAAATTTCAAATGATTTGGATTTGTAGAAAAAAATAAAAATTCAAATGCAAAATGAGGTCGTGATCATTGGATCGAGCCCAAATTCAATCTGGGCTGTTAGCTGAGATTGTTATCTAAGCAGCCTGGCTTACTATCTTTTTCCATATATATATAAATATATATATATATATATGTGTGTGTGTGTGTGTGTGTGTGTGTGTGTGTGTGTGTGCGCATTCATGGACTATGTACTAGTGTTCATCTAAAAGAATTTGAGGTCTATTCATATTCTTCCCCCCACCCCCGAAAAAGCCAACAACCCACCCAAAAAAACAAAAAATAATAATAATATTGGATTCATAGGCTGCGTACTAGTGTGCGTATATAATTTTTCTGCTATGCAATCATGGGCTGCGTACTAGTTGTGCATGTGCATTCACATTTTAATACTACACAAAGGCATATTAGCAAAAGGAATGTTGGGAGAAAGAAAACATAGTGAAACAGCAAGAGTATGATGTTCAAAAATTTAGGCACTAACCAGGAAAGAGATTAATGAGGTGAGATAGAAGATGAAGTGAATATGGTGAACACGACTCTCCCTTTTTGAAGGAGCAAGGGGTTGAAATGTGCTCGAATGAAGATATTACACCTTTTCTAGTCCATAGCCCGTGCCATGCATGCGAAACCACTTTGTGAAAAGAGAGACAAGTTTACATATACTGGGAATTATTAATATAGTACATGGATTAATACTTGTAGAAGACCACATTTACGAAAAGAATAAAATTGTATTTATGAATTCCCCAAAATAGGAATGTTACGATTTCCACAAAACAGGAAACAATATTAAAGTATTTATAATCCTCATAGGGTTTTATTTAAGTAACATCCCTTGTAATTTTGATAATTCCCTTTTATTACAATATGTTTCACAGCCACAGATACAGGAAAGGTTACTACAAAGAGGCATCTTACGAAATTTGAAAAATCCTATACAAATTTAAATAAAACCTATATTGCCAAATTTCTGGCTATCCTACCCAAACCGAATCTATTTGCTTCTACTAAATGAGAATATAACATCCGTAATAATATCAAAAGATCGCCATGGAGGAAGCTCATATAAATCTGAATATAAAACCATAGCTACAACTTCTTTATTATTAGAAATGTTTTGTATGGGAATGATGACATATAATAAAATGGAAGGTTAATATAGGCAGTTGATGACATACACCCCCAAGAATATTAGTATGCACGGTATATATTTGTAATGGGAGCTCCTTAGGGACCAGACAAATAGGGCTGGGAGGTTTAACCAGGCATGTATTTCTTCAAAAAGAAAGCATTAGCTTGATTAGCGCCAAAGGCTGGATTGCCCCAAAGTGATCACAGGATATTTGCACGGTTTTTCTCCAACACCCTCATTGTGGAATGGGGATTATGATCCTGTGTTTCACAGAACACATGGAGCATCCACTATTTCAGGGAGGATAGCAGATATGTTGGACAGGCATCTAGCAGCAGATGTGTCTGCTCCATAGAGATCTTGTTTCAATAAGTAAATAGGAAACTAAAGTCTTGGGAGAAATTTTTAGCCCAAAGTGAGGCTTCTGAAGTGAAATTCACAGCAAAGAATTATCCAAAAGGAATCGACTATCATAATTCACATTGTACTTGTTGCCATACCAACAGACACAAACTATTACAAACTGAAAATCTTCAGACAATGTATCATGATACATAAAGAATAACAAGAAGTGCTTTAAGTAGTTGATATGTTGATCAAGACTACTGCCAAAGCCAAACGGTTACAGAGTACCAATTCTTGATCCTAGGTTTGCACTCACAGTCACCAATTTAAAACGGAAGAAAGAAAGCGAGAAAATAACACATATTAAACAACAGGATAAGAATGGGCACAAGCTATACCACTACACATAAATGCCAAACCACTGAAATGCACTAGAAAAAGAGAACCTAAAAAATAAAACACATGCACTTGGATAGAGATCCACTTATTGTAGCACCATCAGTAAAATTATAACCAAATACATCTAAATCATCACAATAAGGCATCATGCAAACTTAATCATTATTCTCCCATTAAAGAATAAATGAATTTACTATTTGTGTGGATTCATTGAAATTAGAACAATGCAATAATGGGTATCTCCTAAGAAACCATCTGCAATTGTTACGATCATACTTTCAGCAACCATTATTTATGCATATTTTGAAGAGAAATGATGTTCTTAGTCATTTGAAATAGTTCCACTTTGTAGCTTGAACAGTGAGACAAAATCAGATGTTCGTGCACACTTCAAAAAATCGATAAGCTGTTGGGTTTTGTAGCCCTTAAAGCACTAGAGAGCTTGCAAAAATGAAATTTTATAGTGAAATATGCACTTCAGTGGGGGTGTGTCTATTGACTGACCATGGGTTGGGTGGTTTATGGCCCTAGTTATGTCCAAAACCTTTATTCCTGGGCATGTGGTATTACTAAGAAGGGTTTACAGTGGGTGTCATCCTTGTTAAGGTGGAAAAGAGGCCCAAGGATGATATTTGTAAGCCGGGAGAACTGTGTGATCTCCTGTGTGTGGTTGTTAAGCCTATGAGAACAAGGATCAAAGAGTCAACAAACTTTCGCATGGCATGTACACATGACAGCTACATTACTGGGAAGCAGCCTTATAAAATGACACATTGACATGTGCATAGAGAGAGCTTCCTTTACTACAGAAATGCTAGACTTGCTCCTAAAAGAGTGGGGAGGGGGGCTGAAATCCACATTCCCATATCATGGTTCAATTGTTTATTGTCCAACTTTGACAAGCCAATCATGAGCCCCTGCATTGAGATTATGAGTCATGGGTCTTAGTTGGGTTGGATAAAAAAACAGTAGTGGATCATAGTTCTTGAGTCAAGTGAAATGTCCTTATTGTCGCTAATTTTGACCCATTGGCACCAGTTCACTTTTAAATTATTTTATTTTGATATTATACATGTATTTATGATTTTTACAAAAAAATTCAGAATTTTAAAATGTTATTTCTGCTGTAAAATTCATTAAAAGGGTGGGTTCCAAATTTTTAGTACTTGAGAAGGCAAATGTTGGGAACCAACGATCCAGCCCCCACATGTGTGTGCCACCCATGTGTGGGGCCCACATGATCCCCTAGGGTGGCATGCCCAATTTTTTTAAAATATGCCATCTTTTAGTTGGATGTGGAATCTTTTAATTTTAAAATAGATTTGATTTCCTATTCAAGTAGGAGTTTTAAAAATATATATTATCTTTGGACTTTCTAAAGATTATGGAAGATTAGTAGAATGCTAAAAGTGGTTATTATTTAAATTTTAAATAAAAGTTGGACTTGGGTCAAATTATAAGGGGATAGGGTTATTAATTTCCACCCAAAATCATGATAGCTGATTTGTGGAATAGATGGCTCTGATTCAATCTCTCACCCCACAAATTTTTTTTAATTATCCTAAAAGTCATGCTAGAAAATAAGATAAGGCATGCCTAGATGAAATCCTACTCCAAGTAGGAAATAGATTTTGTTTTTGTTTAAACTTGTTCGAACCTTTCCAAAAATTATGACAAGCCTCACTCACTCTCTCATGCCATTGTCGCTCTCTCTCACACCCAAGTTTGCTCTCCCTCTCCCCATCCCAATTTTTCCTCTCTCTCCCATGCCTATGATGTTCTTTCATGCCACCAAAAAAGAAATTACAGTAAGGGGGAGGCAAGTAAAACCCTAAATTAGGTTTGCTGTATTTTTGAAAAAAGAAGGGAGATGCCCAGCCTAAAGAAAGAGATCAACTCACAAATTCAGCTCACATCAAACCCTAATTAAGTTCTTGAGCTCTCTAAAACCCTAGTTTGAAAGTTATTGCCTGAAAAGCCTCCTTGGCTAAGTTATTTCAGCAAGACCTAAAGGACTAAAAGTGCGTCATCGGTCAGGGAATCGGGTATGGAGTATATCAAGATCTATGAGTGTAACTCAAGGCATCCTCTAATACGTCTTCCCAGCTGATTTAATTAATTTTCAGTCATATTTTATATTTTTCTGTGAAATTTCAGGAACATACTTTATACTTAAAAACATAGTGGAATATTGGTTATCGCTCTTGGATAGTATCTATTTGTTTTGGCAGTAAAAGTAAAATTCCTAAGTTGTGTTTTGGGTTTTAAATTTGATTTACAGCAGTGTATAATGGCCCATGTACGTGGAATTCCAATATATTGAATAAATCGAAAAGAAAAATTTTCAAACTTATTACCATGAGTTCCACATAGCCACATAAGCTAGTTAGTAATGTCTATGAAAGAATATGACATGAGACCTTTGTTTATCACAGAGAAAGAAAAGGAGGACCTATATGTATGTTCCCCCGAATATTAGAAAGTGAAACCAAGCAGCAAAAAAAAAAATTAGTAGTTCTGAAGAAGTTTCTTTCATCAATGTATCCCCCATGAACAGCCTAAAAGTGATTCTATCTTCTGCATTACAAATGAAATTCTTCTCATTATTACTGCACCACTGTCAGTGTTCTTTGTTCCAGTTATCCAGCAAAAAATAGCAGGCTCAGAAAACAAAGCACATTCACTTCAAATTTTCAAGAGAAAATATTTGAAATAAAAATTCCTCATCATTATTGAGAAATGGCTCACTCCAGATGAACTAATTATTTATGAAGTCCATACAAAATTGATGACTATTTACATGTGGAACAACAGCATTTTAAGTATGAAGCCGAACTCATGCAGCAAAGCCACCAGAACCAAAAGCAGTTTTATAACAGATCTATGTTCAATGATCCAGAAAAGTGGACAACAACAACAGAATATGTGCAAATCATATGCCATTTGTAGAAACGACTGTTAAGTATGGGGCAGGCAAGATAAATGATGATTAGATTACAGGAAAGGAAAAATGGAAAAAGAAATTTCCTATATGACGAGGCAGATCTAACCGTTTATTGAAGAGAACATCAGAGAAAAGATCTGTCTTTGTACGAGATTCAACAATCGGATTAAAACATTCATGCAGTACATCAAGAGCATCAGAAAGCTTGCTGTGATACTTGATCATTATTTCCGTCTGAGATGCATTAAGATCGCCATTGTCATCTTTTGGTGACCTCAAAATAGTGACAGATAAGCTTCCAACACCAATTGGATTTGATTGGCCCAGCAGTGCACGCAGAGACACATATATCTAAAGAAAACAGTATTGGCATCATCTGCTAAACTTATATCATAATTGGTAGGTAAACGTTTGTGGACGCATTGGTAACGGTAGAAAAAAATATTTTAATGTCGATAACATATTGAAAACTCAGAATGCTAAAGAAGAGAAAGAAGAAAGGATCTCCTACCCATGAGGAAACAAAATGAAGTTGTTCACATAAAAAGCAACATTAAATCAAAAGTTAAGCCTAGGTATAACAAAGCTCAGCCTAGTGCACCTTTCATATCAACAAGGCAGATCATCTAACAGATTCTTGTTATACCATGCATAATTGTATTTCATATGCGTCAATGTGTGCTTCAAGACTCCTAACTTGATAAAAAGCTTCATCAATAGGTCAACAAAAGAAATCAAATGATTAATAGATCATACGTTTGTCGTTTCCTTTATAGAAAACAACTACCAGGTGTACAATTACAATCATGCATCTCAAGCTTGGTAACATTTGACAGACATATAAAAGAAAATTAAATTTTAAAAAAGATGTTGAGATTGTACTCATATACTAATAAGTCAATTGAGCTCTAGCTTGACAAGTACATGAAATTCTAACATCTCAAATAACAAAATCTCAGCAATTGCGTATAAATAAATAAATAAATAGATATGTGTGCGTGTGTGTGTGTGTGTCTGTGTGTGAATTTATTTATGGAATATGGATGCCAGCAAGATTATGAGGATATGGTAACACTAGAATAGATTTGAGATTACACAATTGAATGTAACACAGAAGCATCCAACTTCATGCATTGTAGGCCTAAACCATGTTTAAAGATACATAGGTTGTAGATTAAAATATCTTCTTTGATCATTCATAATTTCTTTCAGAGGCAGAAACAAGTACAAAGGCCCAGCAAAAGAATGGGGTTTTGGTGAATCTACTCATGCACCTATTGAAATGCGATCTCCTTCAAAAAATCCATCTTAGAGAAGGATGTTGGATTATAACATTCCACAGGTCGATAATGTCGACCACCAAAATCATGGATCTAAAGCAGAAATGCAACTAGAGTGACTTGAGATGTGTTTTAAGTCCTATTCATCTCTAAGATGGATTTTAGCAAGGGAGAGAATTTGAATAGTTGCATCCAGGAATGCACCATAAACTTTTGCTTTAGAATAATTAAATTTCATAAGAAAGGAAACACCCAGGGGGTTAAAAATTTATAAATTCCCATTCCTAGACTCTCAACCCCAACATTTGCCTGTGTATTGGCCAGAAAATCAGCTTCTTTAAGAGAAAGACAGCTAAAATATACAACACCTTTGAAATTAAGCACGAACTTGATAAAGATTCCTCCCATTCACCAAGGCTTCCTTGCGATCACTAAGGAACTTAAGATCATGCCTAAAACCATCTAACAACATTAAGTAGATTCTCGTACAAGGCACAATCTCATGAACAGTATGCCAAGATTTGAATATTAAGAGAGAGCATGAGTTGCTCACAAGCCAAATACCCAATTTGAAGCAAAGTTGCATAACATTTTAAAGTTGCCAATGAATCCCAGTGAATCCAATATTTTTATTTTTTTTGAATTAGCTAATTGTTCTATTAAAATCAGAAAAAGTTACACGAGTATAGGCTACCCACATGCCAAGCGGCACGAACAAAAAAGCCCCAAGCGTTGCAAAAAATGATAGGCAATTAAGGACACAAAAGAAGCTATACAGTCATGAGGCAAGAAACAAAAGTATCCAAAATGGAATAGGAGTGCACAAGATGTGCTCAAGAAGTCCCCTATGAGTTTACATGAGAGCCTCCGGCTAGTGTAGCACCCTGTCTAGCGAGGGCATCGGCTGCTGCATTTGCTTCTCTCCATGTACGCTTCCATACGATGTGCATATCCTTGCAAAGGTGGTAAATCTCGTCAAAATTATTGTCAAGCCTCCACGGGCATGGTGAAGATCTTGAAGCCCAGGTTAGGACATTTTTGTAGTCTCCCTCAATGAGTAGGGTTGAGCTCCAATTGGGTTTAAGTTCCTGAGGCGTTCAAGGAGGGCTAGGGCCCCCGTTATATTGGATTCGGCATGTCCGATTGAGCGGTAGTAGGAGAAGAAGATAAAACCATCGTGGCCACTGGAGATGCCCTCAGTGCCTGTTGGACCTGCATTGCCCAAGAAGCCAGCATTGAAATTAAGTTTGGACTGGCCAGGTTTCAGCGGTCTCCATAAGGAGGCGCGTACAATCTCAGGAGGCCTTAAGTTTAGTAGAGCCTGCTAGTTTTGATGAAAGTCCACGTAAGAGAAATGCTTGAAAGAGTTGTTTTTTTTTTTACCAAAAGATGATGAGTGTTTTGACCCTTTCATTAAAGTCGTCAATGGTTGCCATCTCACCTCGAAATATCCTTCTGTTTCTCAGTCAAAAAGCAGTCATTTAATTTACGTTTGGCCTGGCCAGATTTAGGCGGTCTCCAAAAGGAGGCGCTTACGATCCAAGTAGGCCTTAAGTTTAGTAGAGCTTGTTAGTCATGATGAAAGCTCGTGTAAGAGAAATGCTTGAAAGAGTTACTATTTTTTTACCAAAAGATGATGAGAGTTTTGACCATGTCTGTCAAGGCGTTGATGGTTGCCATCTCACCTCGAAATATCCTTTTGTTTGTCTCAATTCAAATCAGAGATTCAAAAAGCGGACTACCGAGCGCCTAGACGGTCCAAAAGGCCTAGGCACATTGCCCAGGCCTAAGTGTCAAAAAAAGGCAGAAATCCCTAGGCGTCCAGGAACTCGCCTAGGTAGGCGCCCAAGGCCTGCACCCCGCCCAGAGGCAGAAAAGCCACTCGGTAGGGGCACTGTGTCATTTTGTTTATACTAAGGAGCCAAAATTGTAGGTTTTACGTTATGGACCTAAAACCCATTAGAGCCCATTTTGGAGAGAGAAAAACCCAAAAAACCTAGTTTTTGGTGATTTCTTTAGAATCAAAAGGTCTCTCAAAGTTATGAGAAATTGATCAAAACATTACTCTTGATATTAGATTTAAGTTTCGATATTTTATAAATCTATTGGAGGGTCTTTAAAAAGATTTGAGTTCTTAGACACATCTTAGAGGTGGAAGTTTGGAGATCGAGTAATCAAAGTACGTGATTTTTTTTTTTATTGCTTGTATAAGTTGTATTATTTTGAGATGTCTTCTTTGGGATCTAATAGAAGTGGTGATCCAGGCTGAAAATATGGCCACAACCCAAATCATTTGGATAAAAATTGCATATGATGTATGTTTTGTGGAAAAGATACAAAAGGGAGCATAAACCAGTTCAAGGAACATCTTACCGGTATCAGGGGGGATGTTGCCCCATGTAAAAAAACTCATGATGCTGTTAAAGAGGAAATAAACAATTTTCTGAGTCTTATAAAAATGAACAAATATGAGAGACATGGCTCCATAGCAAAAATTCGGTATGGGGTTCGAGTCAATTATGATGATGATGACAGTGACGAGGACGGGGAGGGATGTCAAGAGGTAGAATAATCCATTATTATGGGGAAGGGAAAGGGAGTTGTAATTGCTTCTGGGAGTTCGGAGGCTAAGAAGCCTCGGGTTAGAGGTCCTATGGATTGTTTTTTGCCCCGGCCTGACCCTGAGGTTGTAGGAGAGAAAACAAAGAAGAAAACCACCATTGAAAATAGAATCAAGGAAGAGAGAGACAGATCTGCTTTTTTTGTTGCTACATGGTTTTATGAGGCGAGAATTCCTTTCAATACCACTCGCCTAAGCAACTTCTATACCTTGGTAGAGGCAATTGGCCAATTTGAGCCTGGGATGAAACCCCCAACCCTATATGAGCTTCCAGAGCCTCTTTTGAAAAAAGCGATGAGTGTCACAAAGGATGTTGTTGAAGTTTAGAAGGACGCATCGGCTCAATATGGAGTTTCTATTATGACTGATGCTTGGAGTGATAGGAAGAGAAGAAGTCAGATGATTTTGCTGGTGAATTGTCCTTTAGGGACTTTTTTTTTAGGTCTATTGATGCCTCTGATCATATCTATGATGCCCATTACATATTCCAAGTTATAGAGAAGGGAATCAAAGAGGTTCGAGAGCAGCTTGTTATACAGGTTGTCACAGACAATGCTGCTTCTAATGTTGCTGCTGCTAACTTGTTGCACATAACTTACCATAGAATCTTTTGGACACCATGTGCAGCACATTATATAGGCCTCATGCCTGAGGCTCTTAGTGATTTAACCGAGATATCAAGTGTAGTGAAGAAGGTAATGTCAGTTACGAATTTCATTGATAGCCACACTCTCACCCTCAGCATGATGCGTAGATTTACAAAGAAAGAGATTGTGAAGCCCAGGGTCACAAGATTTACAACCTGGTACTTATACCTAGAGATCATACATTCGAGAAGAGTCCAGTTGAGGCAGATGTTTACCTCAGATGACTGGAGAGCATGCAAGTGGTCCAAGGATCAAGTTGGGAAGAAGGTGAGAGATATTATCCTTTCTAAGGTTGTTTGGCGAGGGTTGAAGGGCGCTCTTATGATATGTTTTCCTCCTGTCAAAATCTTTCGCATGGTTGATAAGGACAAGGCTTCTATGGGCTACATATATGAGGCTATGAAGAAATGCAAGAGAGAGATAGACCAAAATTTAGAGGATGATGACAACTGCTATAAGCCCGTTCAGGAAATTATTGATGAGAAGTGGGATAGGCAGCTACATCGGCCATTGCATTCAACTAGTTATTATTTGAACCAAGCTTTTTTTTATATTGATAAGGATATACACACAAATGACACAATTATGATTGGATTTAATAAGTGTTTAGATGTGCTCGTCCCTGATCTGGATATCCAGGATATTATATGTGCTTATGAGCTTATAAATTACAAGTGCGCATTATAGTCTTTTGGGAGTCCAATGGCTATGTGGCAAAGGACCAAAATTGATCCAGGTAATAATATTCTTAAGTTCATCAAGTTCAATTGTTCAAGTAATCAAGTTTCATTTCTATAATTCTAT